CTTTGGATTAGGTCTGCTTTAGACCCCGTGTGATAAGGTCCATAGTAAGGTTAGGGCTCACCCCCTGCTTTGCTCTGCATCCACCTTTTCTGGCTAGAAGGAAGTAGGCTTGTTCAGCAGCTCTCAAACTTTTTACCCCCTTTTACATTTTTTTAAGGGGAGGGGGATATTGTATATATTTTGTATTATTTTAAATTGTTGTACACCGCTTTGATTGCTTTTTTACAAAAAGTGGGATATAAATAAAAGTTTTATTATTATTATTTTAAGATCAAATTCACAATGTTGTGGCTGCAGTACTGGCATTTAACCACTGCACCACCAGAGCCCTTTATTTGCAGAAAGCCATAGAAGGGTGTTGGTTAGTGGGGAGGCCAAAGGATGGCACATGCCCCCTCCACAAACAGGAGCAGGGATCTCTGGGGGGTGCTGCTGCAAATTCTCATCACAGGGTGCATCTGCACTGTAGAAATGAACTTTAAGTGCTGTAGCTCCATCCTATGGAATCCTGGGATCTGTAGTTTTGCAAGGTCTTTAGCCTTTTATGCCGAAGAGTGCTGATGTCTCATAAAACTACTAGTTTTGTGAGATAATTAGCCTTCTCTATCAGAGAGCTCTGGTGCCACAACAAATTACAGATCCCAGGATTCCATAGGATGGCGCCATGGCAGTTAAAGCAAGGTCAAACTGGATTATTTCTGCAATGCCGATGCAGATGCGCCCACAGGAGAAGGTTGGATGCATCGTTCGTCTGCTTGTCACTGCTGCAGAACTCTTTCTTTCACTCTATATTGCTACCTGGCTTTTAAAGTGTGTTTTAGAGGTGTGTGTGGTCTTGACAAGGGTGGCATGATCATTTGTGTGAAAACAAAAGTTATGAGTTCATAAGTCTAGTTTAGGACATTGTAATTGCCTAACCTGATGCCAGCCATAGTAATTACTTCTCAACGTGTGTCTCCTCACATAACTTAACATATGGAGTTTTATGCAAAATCTACATCCTCTTCAACCTTTTTGTGTGATGCATTTCCTTTTTTTAGTGATTCAGAGAAGGGGGAGACCATTTCCAAGTCTCTCAGTGGATTCAGTCAGAGGTTGGCAA